AAAATGAGAGAACTCTGATGTCAATAAAGAATTCTACACTCACGACCTTGTTGATTACCCTCCAGGAGATTCCATGGTGACCTCGGAGGAGAGGGTGTAATTTAATAAGATGGTTAATATTTCTATAAAACCAGCAATCTGATAAATTCTTTTTAGGTAGGCACTTCCACAGAACTAGCATAAGTGACGGTTCCACCTGAAGCATTATCTTTTCTTGTACAACACTGAAAGCTTACATGCTGCTCGACAAATTTGAATTTTAAAAAGTAAGAATGATTGGCACTTGGTAACTTACACAGAAATATAAAGTGGTACAAGAAAATTGCCCATTTCTTTTAGATTTACATTTTATGTATTTTTTTTCTTTTAAGAAGTGATAAGACATGTAATTTCCATCAACTTCAACCAGTTATGTATGAAAGAGGCTACAAGTTCAGCTCCCAGAACTAGCAAGTCATGGGGAGAGCTGTTGTACCACAAAAAGGCAGACGGCTTTCCCAGCTGCCGTCCATTCTGGTGCCATAAATGGTCATTTTCGAGCCAAGACTAAAATCCTAAGAGTCAGATTTTTTCCCCTTGGAAACAATTCTTTTTGCCCTTGATTCCCTGTATTCTGTTTCTTCATGTCTACTAAAACAAGAAGAAAAAGGAGGCAGAGGAATATAGCTAGAGTTCACAGACTTACCTTTATGAGTTGGATGCTCTAAGCAATTTGGTACAATTTGGCGCAATTACTTTCTATTAATTTGTTCATTTAGTCAACAAATATTTTCTGATTGTATAATAGCAAAGCACCCAGAATTGTGCATATGCCACATTAACATTTCTTCATCGATCATTAGAATTTCAAAGATGTGGAATGATGAAGGCAATTGGTAGCCTCAATTCATAATAAAAATCTTATTTAGAGGAAAAGAAAGGTGCTGGTGGTAGTGGTGGTGGGGTAGCTCATGAAAATTGAAGGGAGATCAGTAGAGTAGGTGAAAGGGACCAGGAGGAGGGAAAGGGGATATATTGGGGAATAATATTGGCCAAATTATATTATTATATTGTATTTATGTAGGAATATATAACTAAAAGTCCCCCCATTATGTGCAACTATAATGCACCAATAAAGAACATGGGAAAAATTCCTATTTAGGAATCATACTTCCCCCACCCCCCTAGAGCAATATTCTGTCATGTCTATTTGCTATCTGTTTTCCTTTCATTGAACACAAATATCTGACCTCGTGATATAACACATGTAAAAATTGTATAAATTGACAAGACCATGTATTTAATATTTTTCCTAGAATTTTCATTGACTTTTTCTTGTTTTAGTATATACTATACAATCCTTCCCTTTCTCAGGGTTTAAACTCTTTCCTCCAGCTTGGGCTGCAACCTGGAAAACAAAACCACTATTCTTTCGAAAAATAGTCAAAGTGGTATTTTCCTTCTTTGTCCAACTATCTGTTGAGCTCCTGATGACCACTAAACTAAGAACAAAGATATTGCAGTGGGCAACTTATATTAACAATTATTTTGTTAGCTGGGCCAACAATGAAGTTTCAGTTCTGCATTTATTGGGGGAGGAGTGGGGAGCAAAGACTGGTTTATCTTGCTCACTGTGGCACTTGCAGCATTAGAATATAGCAGAGAGTTAATAAAAAAAATGATTGAATGAAAGTTGTCAACCTCCTAGAGACTCCAAGCATGTAAGAGCTTTTTGAAGGTCACTTGGGTAGTAAGAAGTAGTTAGAATTCAAAGTGTGGCAATCCTGCAGCCTGTGTCCTTTTCCCCATGACATACTTGATGCACAGATTGGCTCTCTCTAGACCCCTTCCCTCCATCTCCTTGGTTCAATGCATATCCTTTCTTGGCAAACAGGAGGTGGGATAAAGAGTAGGTGGTATCTTGGTAGAACAGATATCCATGAATGCCATCCAAAGTCCCGTCTGAGATAGTCCCAGAAGAATCTTACCTGGACTTCTGTCTTTTTAATCTGGGTCTCTCACATCTGAGATACTGAAATATATTCTAAATTACGTGATAGGCCAGTAGATAATCTGCAAGCAGTCCTGTAATTAAAGGAGTGACACCAAAGCTTGTGACAATAGTCCCTAGCATCATGCTGATAGTGTCCCCCCATATGAAATCCCCTCCCTAGAAAGAAGGAGATTTGACAAATATATAGTTGATAAATCTATATATGACTAAAAGCATAGCAGACCTCTGTGTCTATGGTGGGTGAAGAAAGATCCTCAATTATACGCCAAAATACAGGTCTTTGCAAGAAAGATTTAATGCCTATTGTCACACTTGGAGTTACAAGGTATTAATGAGCAAGATATACCAAAAAATGTATTTTTCCCCCAAGGCTACCAGGTTTTGCTGTTGGTATAGAATATGTGAAACCTTAAACTGTGAAGTATGAATCAGAAGGGCTTCCTCTATTATGAATGATGCCATCTTTAAGATGAGGGACTTTCAGTGAAATGCAGGAACATTCAGGGTAATGTGTTTGCAGCAAGCAGGATCTTGAATTTATTGCAGAGGGGAATGTGTGAGTTGACCAAAATGGAGAATGATGAGAAGTAACTAAATTATGTATGACAGTCTTTACCGAGCAGAGGAAGGAAAAAGCTTAATGATGTTGTGGCCGAAGGACCAGCAGCAATTGGTGATGTATTGGCTGTAGATTGGTAAGAAGAGAAATGCATCTATGAAGATCCAAAGACTATGGATGAGCCTGCCAAGGATCAAGAGATAGAATGGGGGGCAGGGGAGGAAAACAAGGGACTCAGGGTATAATACATTTTAGTGGCAACAAGACAGTCAAGGAAAGTCCATTTGACATTAAAAATCACTATCTTAATCTATATTGCTCTTTCAAGTCTGAATTTTATTAAGGCCACCCAAAAATCTATAGTTAACAATGAAGCATCTTTCTCTTTTGCTTTCCGGGCAGTCACCAAGAGCAGTACATAATTTAATTATTGAATCCACAGACTGGACCATGGAGATGAAGAATGATGTGTCTGCTGTAGTGAGAAATTGGATAGAACAAACTGTTTATTCTCATCATTCTTCCTCGGTTAAGCTAAATTAATATAGTTAATAAGTTTTTGTTTGGATTAGTATTCAGATCTGGATGTGCAGATAGGAACTGACGATTATTACAGTAACTATTATTTATGGAACATTGGAAGTATCCCTCAAGCCCCATGCGTAAAACAGGTTCTTCTGTCATTCACCAATGTTTTATCAGATTTAGGGGTCAGATGTTTGAATGGAGTTATGAAGTGCAAGATAATCAGATTTAGTTCCTTGAGACATATGATCCTGGAAACTTCACGATGACTTTTCCTATTGTCCTGTGCCCCCTTTTCCTGATCTTCTTAAACAATTTGAAGAAACCTACACAATTGTAGTGGGCAAACTTTACCGGGGAATTACCAAAAGTAATGTGTGCCCAGAGTGGTGGGAGTAGAGAGGCGGTGGTAGACTGTAGCAAACATCTCAGGCCTTTCCACACAATTTCAGTAGAAACTGTAAATCGATCAAGCAAAACGCAAATGCAAATGCAGCTTCGAGGTATCTGTGCCTTTAGGCGCACCGTGCCCAAACAAATCCCTCTAGTATGAAACTGAAGCCGGCAGAGACAAATAGTCCCCTCCAGCGCACCCTACACAGCAGGCTCTTTCCAAAGGCCAAAATCAGTTCCTCTGACTTGCTGCCCCTTTCATTTTCACGGCATTAGATGCGCTGAGTCGTCTTTCAGTTACATATAATAGATGTTTATTTAAGCAACAGCTTAAAGAAATTGGTAGGAGATCTAGATGGGAAAGAAATCCCACACTACCAACGGAAACCACCCAGCCCTCAGATGGGTAAGGTCAGACCCCTGGGAATGTTGAGGAGCAGGTCCCTCTCGGGCACCCAACCCGGGGCCACCGAGCGCCACGAAATGCTGGGCGGGGCCGGACAAGCAGCTGCTTGACTTCTTTGCGCGGCCGCCATGGGCGGCGCAAAAAGTCAGGGGCTAAATGTGAACCATCCGACTCCACAAAGCGGCCCAGCACCCCCGGGGCAATCATTAGCGCAGGTGCCCCGGCCCTAAAACTCCCCAACCCGAAGGTGGCCTATGCGAACCGAACCCGCACCGTGAGTGGGAGGCGGAGACACCCTGCGACTCCCCGCGGCCGTGCGCACCGTCC